CGGTGGCCGAAGCCTACTCTTATCGATTTTGGACTGTCAAGGGATCTTTAATGTGTGTAGCTTAAACACGGGACCTTCGAGATTTTTCGCCCTTATCCAAGACAAATGTGAGTTAGATCTTACCTACCATAAGACATAAGATCAGGCTGAAAGACAGCAGTAGGAAGGAGCGAAGAATTAAGTAGTAGTAGAAAAGCAACACAAAGAGTCAGGAGCCCAGTGAAGGGGGCAAACAAAGGGGGGGAAAAGGGGTATAGGGGTAAAAAATGAAGACGAAATCAGACGACAAATCATGGTTAGAGAGGGGAAAGGAGAAAATTTTAGAAAAGAAAACTTTAAATTTCTGTCGCTGTCAGGTTTCGAATGTGGGACAATTGAAAGAGAGGAGAACACAGTAGCCTCGACAAGACCACGACAGCACCAGAATTTTATTTGTTCGAAGTTTTATCGAAATTAATGCCTAGATGACTGTGCCATCTACATCTAATGGGTTTTTTTACTCTGTATTCCAGAAAACGACATTTTCAGGGAGTTCCGCAGAGGGCTGGCACTTACCATGACAAGGTCCACTGAGCAAACTATACAAGAGTTAGGGTTAGGGGTAAGGGTTAGACCTAGGGTTAGGGTTACGGTTTGGGTTAGGGTAAGGGTTCATGTTAGGGTTCGGGTTAAGGTGTGGTGTGGGTCGGCCGGAGAGAGAGAGAGGGAGAAAGAGATAGAGAGAGAGAATGTTAGGGTATTGATAACGAAATAGGCAAACAAATAGATGTAGAATCTAGATCTAGATCTAGATCTAGTAGTAGTAAATCTAGTACCGAAAAATCTTGATCTAGATCTAGATCTAGATATATAGATCTATATTACCTTGGCTAGGCTTATCTAGAATCTAGAGATCTCTATGTCTAGATTCTGGATAGACTATCGCTAGACTAGATCCTAGATCTAGATCTATATCTAGATTAGATCTAGATTCTAGATCTTCTAAATTTCTAAATTCACTCCCACAAGGGCCATCATGTAAACAAACGGGACTGCAATTGTACAGGAGTGCCTCTAGATCTAGATCTAGAATCTAGATCTTCCAAATCAAAACATCTTCCTCTGGATCAGCAGCACTGAGGAGGTACCAAACACAGCCTGGCTTATTTTCACTTGTCAACAAAAAATAGAGATCTAAGATCCCTCACGACAAATATTACCGAACTTTGAACAACTGTAACTGGCTGAAAATTTAAGAAACATTGGTGATTTTGGTATCAAATTTCTCAGAAAGGTTAGCTCTCGATCCATCTGACACATCAAAACTATTTTGTGTGAGAAAAATTAATGATGTCTGAAATAATACTCAAGATACGGTCAAAGTGAGATAACCGTGAAAATTACTGAAGGGGGTTGAGTTTTTAGGGTTATCTTCCCTTCGTCTACTGCCCAGAGAGGTTATATAGCCTAATATTAGAGTTCATCACGTGACGTCATACAGGGGGGTTGGGGAGGGGACTTTATTACTCTCAAAGGCATGGCTAGCGTGCCCTCATTTACATGTATAATCATTCTGAACCTCAATCCTACTTCCCACTAGCTCTAGTATTCTAAGTACCACCATTCTGTCTCGAAAAGTAGGCTACTAATCCGTCTGTTGAACCGCGCTTGTCATGCCATTGAGTTTCTGTGTATTAGAGTGGGCACCCGTTCGTTTAAATGGGTGACATGGGTGACATTGACATCACTTACTCGAACTCTAGTACTAATTAATATAACCTCTTTGCTCGTGCCGGAAAACGCACGAAAAAAATTATATTCCCTAAAAAAAACATATTATGTTGTACAGACAGGAGAAGGTAATTCCTACTGCAAAACAAATTAACAAGTCATTCATTCTCTAAAATAATATTTTAGGAGTGATAATTACTGCTTTGTTAACCCACGTGCTTTTAGCGAAACGATACAAACAAATCCAGCTTTTGTATTTCAAAGTGAACCGGAAGTGGTACGCTGGTGTCTTCAACCTACACAGAGAACGATGACGTTGTTGGTGCCTCAAAGGGCAAAGGGAGTTAATTACCATTTCTGTTCAATAGCCGGCAAAAAAAACAACTTAGTTCCCGCCTGTAAAATTGTGTCTTCTGAATGACCGTAAGCAGATCTAATCTAGAACCTAGATTCTAGAACTAGATTCTATGCCAAACTATTATTTTGGTATTCATCAGTAAGATTGACAATTAGATCTAATCTAGATATAGATCTAGATCTAGAGTCTAGATCTAGTCTGCTAGATTTAGATCTAATATCTACATCTAGATTAGTCGAAAGATGAGCAAGTTAAACAGCCTTTTAATATTGGCCTTCTTTTCTAGACACCCGTTACTAGATTCTAGATCTAGATCTAGATCTATCTCTCTATTGCAATAATGATGCTAGATTAAAGTGTGTTACATATATTGAAATAGATTCTAAATCTAGATTTATGAAAAAAACAAACCCGATGATGGTTACCTAATGTTTATCTTTATGACATTGTTTTTATGGTTTCATTACAGTGGGGAGATATTTGCTCACAAGACAAGCGTGTGTGTCTCAGTGACAGAGACCTGGTCTATCTCCTGGACACGAGGAGAGAGCAAAGGTCAACCAGAAACTGGAGGAGGGTGAGGAACTGCGGAACAGAATTTTTACTGAAACAACAGACTTTAGCGAGACATTGAGGGAAAAGAAGACAAACTACAGTAAAAAGTGTCTGCTGAAACCAAACACGGTTATTCCGATATTGGCGGTAAACCAAAGTAAAATAATATCTCTAATTTTTTTTCTTCAGTTGAAGCAACCTCTCTAAACCAGATACCAGTCTCATCATTACGAATGACAAAGTACAGAAAGCTATTTTATAAGCTGTTATGCTGATGGCGAGGGACGTTTTAATTTATTATCTACGTAAGATGTTATAGGTGTGATCTATCAGGGGGAATACTAGGCTCCTTGTAAACCTGTCTTCCTGTCATTGCCACATGGTTGGTGTTTGTTTATTTACATGTTTTTGCTGTGATAATAGATTGATATGGTTGGTGTAACATACAATTCAATACAGGGCATAATATTTGAAATAGAATCATGCCTTGGCTCTTTGAGAAAGTTGACTCCAGGCAGATGCCTCTATAAAACTGTTAAAAGTAGGAACATACTTTTGATTATTTTTGATGTGAGGAAATAATTGCATTCTCCGCCACCAGCTGTTTCCATCTGTACTTTCTACCTGTGCTGAAAGTGGCTTCTTGAAAGAGCACCAAAACTGGTCCCTCACACTGGTGGAGCAACTGGCTGTTGCTATGGAGAGAAGCTTTCTACGTAAAACTTCAACTTTTTCTGACTTGAACATTCCAAAGTAAACCATGGTCTTGTTCTTGTTTAGTGTGTGTACTTAATGATAGTGTGTATGCATTCGTGTGTTTTTGTGTGTGTGTACTTTATCATAGTGTGTTTGTGTTATGTCTGTATATGTGTAAAGCAAATACTGAAAACATGGTCTCGTTCTTGTTTAGCGTGCGTTTGTGTGTGTGTGTATTTTATCATATAAGTGTGTGTGTGTGTGTATGAATTGTATGTGTGTGTTTGTTTGTAATTGAAATAATAGGCCTAATGAAAACAAAAACCATAGATAGATTGTAGTTGTGTCTGTTACCATAGCTAGCTGTTGACTGTGAATTAATTGAATACATAAAAGTAATAAAATTAGGAGCATACTTTTGATCATTTCTGATGTGAGGAAATTACATTCTGTCCCCAGCTGTTTCCATCTGTACTTTCTACCTGTGCTGAAAGTGGCTTGAAAGAGCACCAAAACTGGTCCCTCACACCGGTGGAGCAACTGGCTGTTGCTATGGAGAGAAGCTTTCTACGTAAAACATCAACTTTTTCTAACTTGAACATTCCAAAGTAAACCATGTGCTTGTTTAGTGTGTGTTTGTGTACATGTACTTAATCATAGTGTATGTGTTTGTGTGTAAAGCAAATAATGAGAACATGGCTTTGTTCTTGTTTAGTGCATGTTTGTGTGTGTGTACTTAATCATAGTGTGTGTTTTATGTGTATATATATATATCAATCAGTGCCAGACATGGTCCCTAACAAAAGCGCTAGAGAGGAAACTGGTCACATGTGAGATGAAATGCTTAAGAAGAGCGGTCAACAAAACAAGAAGAGACAAAATGAAAAAGGAATTCATAAGGGGGGACACCGTAGGAGCAACACCAGTCCTACCACACATTGAAAAACAAAAGGTAAAGTGGTTCGGACACCTCACGTGGATGCCCTCAAACCAACCATCCAGCTCTGAGGACATACAACATTAAATATTCTGGATGGAGAGCCAGAGGAGGACCAAGGCGACGATGGAGTGAATCTGTGGCAGACACCCTCAGAGCTCATGGGATGTCCCTCTTACAGGCCACTCGCCTTGCTGCAGACAGACGCCTGTGTCTCCCTGCGACACCCACCGGTACAAGTGGAAGAAAAAGAGTAAAAATAATATATATCGATTAATGAGAACAAAGACAATGGATAGATTGTAGTTGTGTCTATTACCATAGCTAGCTGCTGACTGTGAATTTATTGAATACATAAAGGAGAGTTGTGGCTTGTGACTGCAATGTGTGTGTCCTTTAAATCATCCTTCTTTTTGCAATTTTTATTCTTTGTTGAAACAGAATTCCTGCTGGCCCAGCCACTGGAGGTGAGGGTGTTTCTGAAAACTTGCACAACAGGCGTGGTAAGGAAGGTAAATTTCTTTTTGTGCTGTTAAGGAAAGGTTAAAGGGTGGCAATCCATAAAATTATTTCAACCAGGATTGAGATCATATTTGTTTATGTCCTTTTAATATGTTGTGTCCATATTCTCATCTGTGACCACTCACACAATGTTCTTGTCCTGGCCGCCCTTCAACACAGTGGTCCAGTGGTCGACCTTTCTTTATCATCTCCCTCTACACCTATGTTGACTCATTCCATACATTACCGACGTCTGTGGTCTCATGTGTCTGTTCTTTGCCGCAGATTCTATCTATTCTATCAGGCCAACTTGTGAACTTGTTTTAGCTGGTAGCGTCAAAAGTTCTCTGTATACACGATGTTTGGTAGCGTTCCACAATTATTTTTGACATACATTTGGTGGCCTTAGAAACCAAGGATATGCCACCCTGTTCAATACCGAGCGCCAGGCAAAAAAAGGATAAATAGCCAACCAATGCTAAAAAAAATTGAGAAAAACAATGCCAATCAGTGTTCGTTATCATTCCTTCAAAATCTTAAAGATTTTATCAAAATACTGTTTTGAAATATTAATTTAGATAACTTATATTTAGTTTCTCACTCAATAAATTAGACATTTTTATGTCAGTTTTTTTTTCTTCAATTTTGCCTTTCGTAAGGTTGTTATCTTGAAGATTTCGGAAAACAAAGAACAGATGGTGCTTAAAGAAAGTGAAAATTGGACAGAGTGGAAAGCTACAGATTCAGAAAATGCTCCTTGCCTCAGAAAGTGATTTTCCCATTTCCCCCTTGGTTTCCCTTTGTCACCACTATTTGTTTCTCTTTCTGCTGGGCTGATGTTTGCACCAATCAAGTCCTTGATGCTCTAGCTGTTCCCGTCTTCCCCATCCACTGTTATCTGATACCTTACTTTGAATAACAATTTTATCCAGAGCTTCTGTGTTTTTGTGAGCCAAAATAAGTGAGCTTTGTGATCTAATTAAATCTATTAATCTGCCTCTGTTCTTATCTTCAGCTTTTTCAAGATCCTTCCAATTACATTATTTAGAATAAATGTTTCTATGTATTTGTTTCTTTTTCATTTTTTTCAGATCCCAACAGTCGTCTGTACCTGAGTGCCATAGAAGTTTCACCCTCCCTGACCATAGAATATGGAGCTTTCACAGACAAACGACATCTTGACGGTTCGGATCCGGGCAAGGTCTAAGCTCTGTGGCGCAATCGGCTGGCTGGATAACACAGTGGACAGCAAACAGTAAGTCCAGGTTTTGTCTTGTGGACAAGTCGACGTTTCTCTCTGACAAAATGATTGATTGTAATGATTGTAAATGTTTTACGCCCCCATCAGCACTTTTTAGGTCAGTCAGGTTGTCAGGACCAACCCAGGTTGAGAGGGATACATTTTTAGACAATTACCTAGGAAATTAAGATTTTTTCAGCATGTTGGTCTTGGCCTCTGCCTTTTTTTCCATTAATCATTCAGGTTAAGGCGAGGCATTTGAGACCTATCATTGTGACAGCATTTGTGTAAAAAAAGCTACACTTGATTTTATGGTTTGTTTTTAAAAATAATTTTTGATGAAGCATCACTGCGGAAACGGCTTTTTTAACACCTACTGGGCATGTTTTCTTTGATGTAAGCCTAAAGCGGGTTAATAAAAATAGGGGATTTACAGCATACACCTAAAACATTGAAAAGTTTACACATATTCCTCAACACTACACTCAACCATTCACCTAAGAAACGCAATTCTGCAGACGGGGTGAGTAATTTTTGAGACTCGCATGGAGACGTCTAGACATCTGGGAGATGTAATCAAGAAGCTTTCATCGAAATATGGGGGCAGGGTGGTGTCGCTGTCACAAAATGAGCAGTTTGTAGGCAAGGCTGCTGTAAGTCATTTATTTTAACGATCCTGTGTATGCCTCCAAAGAACGGCTAATAATACAGGGTTCTCTTTTGAAAAAAATGTTTTTTACTTTTTCCCAACAAATTCTTACAATAGAAATGTAAATCTTTAGCAATCCAGTCATGGAAGGAAAGATTGTAAGATTGTAACAGTGCCGTTATGACATGAAGGACATTCCTTCTGCAGATGCACTGATCATCGTCAAACATGGACGGATACACGGTTTTTATTGTTATTGTTATTATTATTATTATTATTATTATTACAGTATAACACGGATAGCTCGAATTCGTCAGGACCGGCCTCGATAGTTCGATGTATCCGTAGTTCCAGGAATATCTTACAAAGACCAAGAAGAAGAAGAAAATCGGGACTGCGTGCACAGTTCGACGGATGCATAATCGGATCTTCTGTGTTGGACCTCTTCGTGTTATAGGGTATATTATTGTAATTAGTGTTATTATTTGTAGTATAATTATTATTAATATTGTTATGGTTATTGTTATTTTTAGTGTATGGTTGGCGGGTGCTCTGGTGTGGTTTGCTTCTTCTTTCCTATCAAACATATATCGTCTTTATCTCCCCTCCTTCTTTTTCTGTGTTGGACCTTTCGATATTATAGTGTATACAATCAAACCTGCCCTGACGGCCACCTCTATAAGACGACCACCTGTACAAACGGCCACTTTCCATATTTTTTTCTATGTAATTTAACTGTGTAAGACAGGCACCTGTTCAACGCAGCCGCGGCCACCATATTTTAACACACAACCCCTATCATACTAAGCAATAACACCTTAGTGACTCCATTTCGTTTTTTCATAAATTGTGCACCGGCCACTTGTCTTATACGGCCACTTTTCTCCTTGACAGTAGGTGGCCGTCTTACACAGGTTTTGACTGTATTATTATTACTAGTATTGTAATTAGTATTAATATTATTAATTTAATAATTAGTATTATTAGTAGTAACATTTGTATTATTATTAGTAGTAACATTTGTATTATTATTAGTAGTATTGTAATTATTATTATTATTATGATTGTCATGATCAGAATCCTTATTACTACTATTATTATTGTTATTACTATTATTATCATTATTATTCTTATTATTATTTGTATTATTTTCATTTTCATATTTGTTTATAGTATAGGTTAAATAAAAAATTACCCAGATGTGAATTTGTTGAGAGAAAGAAAGAAAAGAAGAGGATTATCATTTGTCATCCCCAGCTGTGTTCCCTGCCATATGTGAGAGACAATCCCTGTGGTCTGAGGCCGGTCAAGCCAGTGCCAATATGGAGTCAGTATCTCACTGACCGTTCCTCTCTAACTGTGTGTGAGAAGAAAATTGTGTTTGGTGAGAATGTAAAAAAAAATGTCATTGATTTGAAAATATCATTGGTGTACATTTCTTGTGTGAATTTGCAGGTTTCAAATGACAACTATAGTTGTACCTGCCTTAATGGCCACCTGTCTAAGACAATCACCTGTACAAACGGCCACTTCCCACTTCCCCTTTGTGTTTTCCTGAATTATAATAACACCTGCCCAAGACAACCACCTGTCTAAAACAATCACTTTTCTCCTCAATAATGGGTGGCTGTCTTGGACAATTTCCACTGTACTCTGTGATTTCTCCGGTAATCCATGCTCTTGTAAATTCACCACTTTATGCATTTGTAGAGATTACAATTTGTTCTTGGGTTTTTTTATTTAACAAGAAACAAATTCTGGATGATAATGTTGCCATTTGTATATGACATCAGTAAGATCTTATGGTATCTAGGGGCTGTTGAAATTTTTTGAATAAATTCTTTACCCATTTTTAATCCTTGGAGCAATGAGTTACTTCTAGTTTTAATTATCTGGTAACAAATATTCAGTGTGCCAGTCAGGCTTTCAGGTTTAGTAGGGGGCTCTCGTGGCCTAGAGGTTAAGGTGTTGGCCTCTCATTCAAAGGTTCCGGGTTCGAATCCGGGTAGCGACCAAAAAATTTTCTTCTCTAAAATTGTCTCCTTTCACCTCCTTTCCTGCTCTCTAGCAATGTTCTGTTGTCTGCTTTCATTTCCACTTTCTGTCCTCACCCCCTCACCTCCTTTGCCCCCTCCTCTGGGCTCCTGACTCTTTCTGCAGCCTTTCTACTGCTACTCCTTGGCTCCTCCTTACTGCTGTCTTTCTGCCACACCCCTGATCTTCTGGTAGGAATGATCTACACCTAGTCTTCTCGGACAAGGGCGAAAAATCTCGGAGGGCCCGTGTGCAAGTTGCACACGTTAAAGATCCCTTGGTGGTCTAAAATCGATAAGAGTAGGCTTCGGCCGCCACCCGGGCAAAATTCAAAATTTCCTACCAACTGAAAATATTAGGTGTGTGCCGCGCGCTCATATGACCTATGCAGTTGCGAGCGCCGTAAAACTCTTTACAAAATTTTTTTTTTTTAAATCAGGTTTAGTTGTACTGTCCTTGAGTTATACTTATAGCCCTTGTCACATGGATCTATAAATGTTGTAGTTCTTGGAAATCTGAAGCCTAAGTCCTGTATCACTTCATAAAGAATCAAAAGTTTTTATTTTACTGGTGTTATTTTATGTACGACGTGATGACCGGTTGTTGTAATCCGTACAAAAACATTTTCTCTTTCTTTCTTTCCACTGACAGATGTCTTCAGAACATCAGAACCTGACAGAAATGTTCAACTATCTGTCCCGAGAACCTTCAAGACGCTGCCATGTTGAAGGGGACATCAGAGATGGTCATCAACAGGATCTGTCGGTAGATTTGACCAGACAAAAGATGAAGCAGACAAAGAGATATGGAGAACTGAGTGGATCAGAAAAAACCTTCATGTCTAGCTCATCCCCAATGTTCCCCACTATTTTTTAGCTCATTTTAAAAAAAAAATTTTTGGGATCCCTATTATTTTCTATATTTTCTAGCCCATCCCCAGTATTTTCTAGCTCATTCCCAGTATTTTTTAGCTCATCCCTAATAATTTGTATCTTATCCCCAGTATTTTCTAGGTCATCCCTAATATTTTCTAGCTCATCCAGAATATTCCCCATTAATTTTTAGCTCGTCCCCAGTATTTTCTAGATTATCCATATTATTTCTAGTTCATCCCTAATATTTTCCAGCTCATCTCCAGTAATTTCTAGCTCACCCCTAATATTTTTTAGCTCATCCCCAGTATTTTCTAGCTTATTCCCAGTATTTTCTAGCTCATCTCTAATATTGTCTAGCTCATCCAGAATATTCCCCACTATTTTTCAGCTCATCCCCAGTATTTTCTAGATTATCCATATTATTTCTACCTCGTTCGTAATATTTTCTAACTCATCCCCAGTATTTTCTAGAATATTCTTATTATTTTCTAGCTCGTCCCCAGTGTTTTCTAGCTCATTCCCAGTGTTTTCTAGCTCATTCCCAGTGTTTTCTAGCTCATCCCCAGTATTTTCTAGCTTGTCCCCAGTAGTTTCTAGCTCATTCGGATACAGCGGGAGCTATACATTCTTATACTACGTCTCTGAGCGTCTAGAGCGGGAGAGATCGAGCGAGCAGTAGCTTGGGGGGGGGGGGTTAGAGGTGGGTGTCTGGGGGGGTGTAGGTGGGCTCCAAACAGGCTGTCGGCATTGTGATTGACTAGCCCAGTGATGAGTGAGGTGTGGCAGGCGGTAGGCATAGAGAGAAATGATGCGGAGAGACGCATTGGCGTGAACCACTCCAAACGTGATGTAGATCTGTAATATCCCTAGCCCTAGGCTAGGCCAAAAAGTAAAAGAAGAGGAGAGCGTGTAGTGTGTGATTCCCGATTCATTGAATTGCGATTGTTGATGCTCAAGCATACGCACGCATACACTTCACCAGTTCTACAGTAGGCCTACTGGTATGATAGACAGCACAAACAACAAACTGAGGAAAAGATGGCTTCCAACAAAGACAAAAGGCAATGCTTTTCACTCGAATGAAAGGCCGAGATAATCAACAGTTGACAAGAAAAGGAAGACTTATCTAAAGCGCAAATTTTATTGATATGGAAGGGATGTAATCATGTCTATTTTAAAGAAAATTTTCGGTAATTTCCCCTTTGCATTCCTATAGCAGGAGCTCGCTTACAGCAGAATTTTTCTTCTGGAACCAAAAGTCCAGCTATAGCCGTGTTCTACTGTGTTTTATAACTCATCCCTAATATTTTCTAGCTCATTCTGAATATTCCCCACTATTTTTTAGCTCATCCTGAGTATTTTCTAGATGATTCCTATTTTTTTCTTGCTCATCCCATATAATTTTTAGCTTATCCCCAGTATATTTTTTTTAGGTCATCCCTAATATTGTTCAGCTCATCCAGAATTTCCGCTATTATTTTTTAGCTCATCCCCAGTATTTTCTAGATTAACCATATTATTTCTAGCTAATCCCCAATAGTTTCTAGCTCATTCGTAATATTTTCTAGCTCATCCCCAGTATTTTCTAAAATATTCTTCTTTTTTTTTTTCTTTAGCCCATCCCCAGTGTTTTTTTAGCTCATTCCCAGTACTTTCTAGTTCATCCTTTATATTTTTCAGCTCGTCCCCAGTATTTTGTAGCTCATTCCTAATATTTTTTAGCTCATTCCGAATATTCCCCACTAATTTTTAGCTTATCCCCACTATTTTCTAGATTGTCCCTATTATTTTCGAGCTCATCCCCAGTGTTTTCTAGCTTATCTACTAGGTAATCCCTAATATTTTCCAGCTCGTTCCCAGTATTTTCTAGCTCATCGCAAATTTTTTCTAGCTCAATCTGAACTTTCCCCACAATCTCTTAGCTCATCCACAGTATTTTCTAGATTATTCTTATTTTCAAGCTCATCCGTAATATTTTCCAGCTCGTCCACTGTGTTTTCTAGCTCATCCCCAGTTTTTTCTAGGTCATCCCTAAGAATTTCCTGCTCAGCCCCTGTATTTTCTAGCTCATCCCTAATATTTTTAAACTCATTCCGAATATTTCCCACTATTTTTTTTAGCTCATTCTCAGTATTTTGTAGATCATCCCTGATTTTTTTCTAGCTCATCCCTAATAATTTTTAGCTTATTCCCAGTATTTTTTTAGGTCATCCCTCATATTTTCTGGCTCATTCAGAATATTCCCCCTTATCTCTTAGCTCATCCCCAGTATTTTCTAGATTATCCACATTATTTTTAGCTCATCCTTAATATTTTGTACCTCATTCCCAGTAGTTTTTAGCTCATTCGTCATATTTTCTAGCTCATCCCCAGTATTTTCTAAAATATTCTTATTATTTTTTAGCTCATCCCCAGTGTTTTCTAGCTCATCCCTAATATTTCTAGCTCATCCCGAATATTCCCCACTATTTTTTTGCTCTTCCCCAGTATTTTCTTGATGATCCCTATTATTTTCTAGCTTATCCCTAAAATTTTCTAGCTCCACCACAATATCTTTTAGCTCATCCCTAATACTTTTTAGCCTGTCCCTAGTATTTTCTAGATTATCCCTATTTTTTTCCTACCTCATCCCTAATAATTTTTAGGTTATCCCCAGTATTTTCTAGGGTGTCCCTAATATTTTCTAGATTATCCAGAATATTCCCCATTATTTTTAAGTTCATCTCCAGTAGTTTCTAGATTATCCCTATTATTTTCTAGCTCATCCCCAATATTTTTTTAGCTCATCCCTAATATTTTTTATCTCTTCCCCAGTAATTTTTAGCTCATTCTTAATATTTTTTAACTCATCCCCAGTATTTCCTAGTTTATTCCTATTATCTACTTGCTCATCCCCAGTATTTTTTAGCTCATCCCTAATATTTTCCAGCTCATCCCTAATATTTTCCAGCTCGTCCCCATTATTTTTTAGTGCATCCCCAGTATTTTCTAGATGATAATTGGCAGTGTAAGAAATTATTTAACTAAACCAGCAAGCAAGACACTTGTGACAACATTGATTTTATCAAAGTTAGATCACTGTAATGCTATTTTGTCTGATTTGACGGCCGACAAACTGTCAAAGTTACAAGTACTCCAAAATCAAGCAGCAAAATTGATAATGAAACAAAAGAAATCAGCGCATGTAAAACTTATTCTGAAAGAACTACACTGGCTGCCAATGAAAGAAAGGATCAAATACAAAACTGCCGTTCTCTGTTTTAAATGTATAAATGATACTGCACCTTTTTTTCTTAAAACATTCCTTGAATTATATCTTCCACCTAGAGCTCTTAGATCAGCCTCTGATAATCTAATTCTTAAAACTCCTGAACAGAATTACAGAACATACGGCGAGCATTCCTTTTTGTTCTTTGATCCCCAGGTATGGAAAGAAATCCCATGTAAAATAAGAGATCTGCCACAACAATTTACATTTTCAAAAATTAGCTGAAGCCTTTTTTATTCCCAAATGCATACCTGTCATTATGATGAACTGTTATATACAGGCGTGGTTTGTCCATAGAGCACGGTTGTGCAGGGCCGCCCAAATTTAAAAAAATGTTCTATTATGTAAAGCACCCACAATGATAAGATAAAAGAAGCCAGAAACAAACACAAGCCAAATACTATATAAAACAAGGTCCTCGCTGGTGCCTTTACTGTCATTTCTCTGTCTATAGCGCCGTAAAACATCTATGCCATGCATATGTCCATGCGCTTTAACTTAACGTAATAGGATATTCAACAGTGGTAACCTGACCTATAAATCGTTCTTTGGGATAACCCAGGCGATGACGACACTCGTAGCGAGTTTGGCGGTACATTAATATTAATAAGACGGCACATCTCAAATGTGCTCCTGCAGAATAGTGCCGAAACATAGCCCACAGTAGGCAGTCTGAAAATAAACGCGATAGACTGTACACTATTCTATGCCAAAATTATGTGAGCCCCGGAGCAATCCAGCAGAGTGCTCAAGTGAATTGTTCATTGTCTTGCCGCTATTTTAAGCGACTCTGTGACTGTGAACCTGAGGAAGGTGAACGTGACATACTTAAGCCACCGTCCTCTGAGTTGTGTCTTTGAATGGTTTTGTAGTGGAGTGGTTAAAGTTGGTACTTGGGTGTTCAGTTCTTATGCAGAATGAACGAAGTTGATGTTTAGCTAACAAACAGATTTAGTTCTAGAAATCAAAGTGACAAGTAAAAAGAATGAAAAAAAAGCATGGGGTCCTCCCTCACCAACCCAAAGATCCTAAAATTATACACCATCTCATTTACTATGCACTTGACAATCTTCAGCCTGCGATAGCTTAATTGTGCACGCCCACTTTTTAGCACCACGAGCCGCCCCTGGTTATATAATGCATGTGTATGCCAGACTGTGAGACTAAAGAAGTAGCGTGTGAGAGAGAAGGGGAGGAAGAGAGAGAGAATGGAAATGTTTTTCTATCTGTAGAGAACAAATGTTTTAATGAATGTTTCTAGTTACTCACGTTTCAATTTTATTTTGACCGTTTGTGAATTTTTATTGCATTGTATATTTTTAGTGAACGCATTTCCAACCTCACTGCAAGACTGTTTTTCTCAAAGAAATCTTTACACATATGCATATATATTATATGCATAATACTTTGTTTTACGTACACGCATGTCGATTAATTTTTTAGATGTGATGTCTTTTTCGATGTAATGGGCTTTGAGCATTTTTTTTAGAAAATGGAAAAGCGCAGTATACATGCTGTTTATTATTATTATTATTATTATCCCTATTATTTTCTAGCTCATCCCTAATATTTTATAGCTCATACTTAATATTTTATAGCCCATCCTGAGATTTTCTAGATTATCCGTATTATTTTCTAGCTCATCAATATTTTTCGTTCATCACTTTTTTCTAGCTCATCATTAATATTTTCTAGCTCATCCTTAATATTTTCTAGCTTATTCCGAATATTCCA